AATGGCACAATAATACTTTACACGATCTAACCCCCCCAAAAAACCTTTATCCACGCAACCGTTTGCATTTGCCCGAGAGGGCACCTGTCTCATGGGAAAGTTGGGTCTCGCAAAAGGCTCTGCCAGACCACTAAACAATGCAGTCTTAAACTAACACACACACACACGTGAATACACCACAGGAGTACACCAGTTACTCGCCTCTATCATGAAGACATCACAGTTGTGCAGGCAACGTGACTTATGCCCAAACTGGGCTTAGTTCCTCACTCGATATATTCTTTAACGCGGCTATAATCGGACGTGGAGTACGGAATATATTTATCGGTCGGCATAAGGTACTACCTCTAGATGTACAAGGTATGCCTATTTGATGAATTTTGCATTATTGTACCCTATATTCCGATGAGGACAACATAGGGTGAGAGATGGTTGTGGCATATCAATATAATTCCTGGAAAACGTTCTCGCTAAATGGAAGCAATATTTACGTCCAACCCCTAGAAATGTTCAATGCCTCCTATAAGTTTGGATGGAGAGAAAGAGAAATGGAGAAACCCTCGTGCAGTTTCAGGGGGACAAAACGTCTCATTAGAACACTCTAAATTTCGATTTAAATTTCGATGTAAAGCTTTCGTGACTGCAGGATTCATCTCTTGGTTCTTTCGGTAAAGTCACGTAGAAGGGAATTTTTTTTATTTTATTTTATTATTTTCCTTCTACGTGACTTTACCGAAAGAACCAAGAAGATAGAACACTCTAGATAATACTTGAAGGATGTTCCAGAGGGAAGGATGTTGGGAAGAAGACAAAGAGAGCTCAAGTTTGGAGATGTGTATGGATGGAGAGTGAGCCAAAAGCCCCGCCCGCCGCACCCCGCGTCAGCGAAACGCGATTCCCCGCCGCGAGCGCCTTTTCTCGCGTGTTGTTGTCCTAAATTAATAGACGAAGCCCTCTCAGTTACAGCTGCGTCCGCTCGCTCGCGAGTGACGCGCTCATCAAAGGGAGCGCTCAGCCCACGGCACTCAATCGGCCACCTCGCAAGGCTCCGATGGGTAGATTAAGTGCGCGTGCGTGCGTGCGCGTGTGTGTGTATGTTTGTCTGTGTGTGTGTCTGTCTGCGGTGGTGTAGCGGTTAGCGCGCTGCGCTATGAACCCGGCGACCCGAGTTCGATTCCCGCCTTCACGGCCAACACCCCGTGACGATTATTTGAACCGGTTCTGGGCCTCCCATAGGTCGACTCGGCCTCAAATGAGTACCTGGTGCGGTGTAAACATCGCCATTGGGGGAAACAAAGGCGGCCGGGCGTGGTGTTGGCCACCCACCCCCTCGTGTGTCGTTCCGGCCTTCATTAGGTGCTACTCGCTAATAACGACACTTGCTCCAACATTTTGTTGAAGGCTTACATACGGGGGATATTTATATCTGCGTAACATTTCGCGCTGCGAACACGGTGACCCGAGTTAAATACCCACTGAACGACCAACACCGGCGATGAATGTCTGAACTAGTCCTGGGCCTCACGTAGGTCGACTCAGCCTTAAATGAGTACCTGGTGGGACGTGTAAACATCGCCACTCTAGAGACGAAGGCGGTTGGGGCACCGTGCTGGTTCACCCATCCCGTCGTGTCCTGTTCCGGCCTTCATAGGTGCTCGCGAACAGCACTTGCATCAACAGTCTGATCCGGGTATACGGGGGGTGTTTGTCTTTGTATTATTCATCCTCTTTAGCCTTGGTCAATCCACTGCTGGATGATTGGCCTCCCCAAGCCGCCACCGCCGCCGCCTATCACAATCACGTGATGTAAACAATCTACCCAGAGCACCTGCAAACACGAGGCAACATCAGTCGCTCCATCTCTTTGGCGGTCGTCCTACCGGATGCGTTCCCTCCTTTGGCTGCAAGTCCGCGACGATTCTTGGCCATCGTCCTTCCCGAGGCCCACTCACGTGTCTATAAGAGCTTGAATGTCATTGACCCGCGTATGCTCTCGAACCCATGCGCTCCCCTCTTGCCGTCGCTCGGTGACAAAATTCGAATCCGCTCACTCTTTCTCTGTGTTCCACGGCCGTGTGCCTGACCTGTAAGTCATCGCAGTTAACACGCGCCGATTGCAAACTCTCTCGCACGTTCGTCATCCAATTTTTTGGGCGTTTAGGCCGACGGATTGACTTCACCGAGAGCCTGAATTTAAGCCCCCCCCAAAAAGTTTGTTTTCTTCACAGACTAGTTTTTATTATTTCTAAATTTGTGCCACCTCGTCGGTTGTGTTCTCTCCGTCAACCTAAATGTACCACGAGTGTTTCACTTTTCAGAAACCGTAAATGACTCGACTCACACGCATAACTCGCAAGCGTAAACCGTGTTCTTCCACCCACAACTTTATCCCGATAGTTCTCTTGGTTTTACGGGAAAGTTTTTTGCTCTCCTAGCTAGAAGTTACGCAATTTGTGTGTGTAGATGTGTGGCCGCTAATGCCCGGTGTACGTATGTTGACCGTACATCGCCAACCGTGCTAATCGGAGGTGCGGGCAGAAAAGACAACAAACTAAACAAAAAAAATCAGCTCAAAAGATGTTTGCTTCAATCTATCATTGATAACTCAGTAGACAAGCAAGGTGGAGGGGGGGGGGGGGTGCCGCTCAGCACTCTGACAATTGAGCCACTCGGCCACCGCAACGTGCAAATCAATTCGAATCGATTACATCGTCACCGATCTACTGGCCGGGGCAGGTGGATAAGCTCTCCATCTCTCAGTGCCCGTCAATGCCACGAGCAGTCACCTCCATCCGCACGCGCTCACGATGATGGGGACAGACGACGCTGTATGGATTGGTTGTCAGCCAAAGAAGTGTGTCCCTGGTGTACATCTCCTGCCTGTACTGTGTGTGGGATTTGCCCTGTGAAGCCTAAATCCCCACGGATGGACTGATGGGGGGGGGGGGGGGCTCCAATACAACGTAAAACACAACGTCGATTTCGCGAGTGCGGGGCAGTGTGCCAGAGTTGTGACGGGTCTCCTCCGGCTACCTCTGGGGGAGCCGGTGGATCCATCGATCTGTGGGTGTGGATGCGGACCGTCGTTCTTGCACCGTGCGTGAATTGGCTTCAGTACAAGGTGCTCCGGAAAAATGTGAACACTCCTGAGAATTTGCAACAACACCGCGAGAAATGTGCCTCCTGCGGGCGCTGGAGACCACCTGGAGAAGATTCCAGGCACGTGTTGACAACGATGGTGAACACGTGGAGACTTTGACTTTTTGAAGCTATTAACATACATTTGTTACCATGTTACAGTGTGTTATCCGTTAGTTTTCCATTAGCAACGATAGTCCCATATAAGTGTTCAACATGTTGATGCACAGCGCCATGATGCAGCCTATTCATTGAGCATTGTACGACAACGCCACTGTCAAACCGCAAGATATAGCCTCTGTGGCAGCCGCACACGCGTGCTGTGTACGACTCGGGGACCCTGCCACAAAATGTGGCGACGTGAGAGATCGGTACCAGAAAGACGTGGGGCCACTTCCTGAGCATCATGGCACAAGACAGAGAGGAAAGTGTAAACAAATTACGAAATGTGCAGTGGACACCTACGGGGCAATCTGCCCGTGGATCGTAACGATGACTAGCGGTGTCACGACTAATCGAATAATTAATGGAATACAACGCATCCTTGAGCTCAGGATACATGTTGAATCACGCGTGTAAGATTCGATTTTTGTTTAGATGCGTTCATATTATATGTAATTCGCTCACACGAACCCCTCCCAGCCACGTATCTATCACTGTTAAAAAGTTATCCGAATATGGAATCAAGGGAGCCCATTGAGATTGAAATTATTTTCAAGAGAGTCGGTTCGTTTCCTACTGTTGTGGAAATTTCACATTGCTATGTCAAGGGCTAGGATAGATACAACTGTGCAATAAACTTTATCTATTCATATGAAAGAAACCTGAACAGACGGCAACTTTTTTTTCACAAGGTTGCCACCGATTTTATCGACCCAGGAGATCATTGATTGTGAGCCGAGCACGTCAGTGTGGTTGGCATGGGCCCTCGTGCGAGCAATAAAAGCCCCCCCCCCTCCCCCAGCAGGATTATCAGGCAAGTGGAAAAACAGGCACGTGCATATGACAAAGAGTTACCGACTTAAAGGCAAACACCTCCTGTTTATTAGCCATTAATTAGAGTTTCCACTGCATGGGGATGTCCACAAGAGGCACACCGCTGTCCACGGAGGATCGTTACACAACGAAGACATTTGAGGCCGAGTCGTTCTGGGGGAGGCCCCCAAAGACCGCTTGTGTCACTGAAATGGGTCGTGAGCGGGAATCGAACTCGGGTCGCCGTGTTCGTAGCGCGCTGCGCTAACCACTGCGCGCCACCTCTTCCCACAACAATACAAAGACAAAGATCCCCCGTATAGCCTGTGACAGGCTGTTGGGGCAAGTGGTGTTAGCGAGCACCTATAAAGGCCAGCACGGCGCACAAGGGCGTGGGTGGCCAACAACACGCCCAGCCGCCTTCGTCTTCCCAGTGGCGATGTTTACACACTACACCAGGTACTCATCTGAGACCGAGTCGACCTAGGGCAGGCCCAGAACCGGTTCAAATAATCGTCACTGGGTGTTGCCCGTGAGCGGGAATCGAACCCGGGTCACCAGGTTTCGTAGCGCAGCGCGCTAACCACTACACTACCGCTCCCCACATACATAATACATACACACACACCAGCGTTCTGATTCCACTTGCCACGGCTGCTAATCGTGACTGGGGACTTTGAACGTCTCCACGCCCACACACCGTGGCCGGGAATCGAACTAACGCTCCCCCCTCTCTCTACACAAAGACAAACGCACGTTCTGTTACCACTTTCCATTGATTTTAATCGTGACTGGGAATCTCCCAAATATTTTTCTCTCTCTCTCTCTCCACACACACACACGCGCACACTTCCCACACCATGCCAATCCCGCCTGCCCGAACGCACCTTGAGTTTCTGCACGGACTGTCCCTCTGCGGGGGGCTGGCACCACACCGTGACCCCGCTGCGGCTGTAGCACTGCAGCCAGCCCGAGTCAGAGTCGCACTGCGCGCGGAACGAGATGAACGCAGAATCGTCCGGGACTTGAACCCCTTGCAACTGCCCGGCCATGCTGCTGCTGCTACGGCTGCCCAAGCACGTACTCTCCCCTCGTCTTGATATCGTGGGGTGTAGGGGGGGGGAGTAGGATGATGATGATTGTGGCGGTGGTGAAGATGAGAAGTAGGTGGTGGTGGTGGTGTAGGAGGAAGACACGGGAACTCCGGAGCGGAGCGATAATGAATGCGTAAACTCGCCCCGACAGCGCCGCCGCTGCTGCCGCTGCTGCCCGCGCTGGCTGTTGTAGGTGTGCACACACGCGCGCGCGCATGGACGTAGTGACAAAGGTCCCCCGTATAGCCTCTACCAGACTATTGCGGGCAAGTGCTGTTCGAGAGCACCTATGAAGGTACGCGCGGCACACGAGGGGGGGGAGGTGGGTGACCAACGCCACGCCCGGCCAAATTTTTCCTCCCCAGTGCCGTTCTTCAGACACCGCACCAGGTATTCATTTTAGGCTGACCCGACCAAATGGAAGCCCACAAAGTTGGTTCAGATATTCGTCATTGGCGTCGGCCGTGAGCATGAATCGAACTCGGGTGGCACGGGTTTGTAGGGTAGCGCGCTAGCCACTAAAGTGCCGCTCACTGATATGCATACTGTACTTGGGGGCGCAAAACACGTGGCTTCATCGCGCGGGGCGCGCCGATCAATTGTCGGCGAGCACCTATTAAGGTTGGCACGCCACTGCAGGAGATGTGTGATGTGATCAAAGCACGGCCGCCTTTGTTTTCCCAGTGATGACGATTGCAAACCTCTCACCGGATACTCATTTAAGGCTGAGTTGACAACGCAGGTGGCCAGACCGGGATCATATGAACGTCCGATCCTCGTTAATATCCGTGGTCGGGAATCGAACCCAGGTCACGGGGATAGATTGGGGAGTTGCGCACGAACCAAAGCGCCACCGCTCCTCACCTACGTACTGTATTTTAAAATAAAGTAAACAAACCGATCCCACGTGTAGGCCACATGGGCTGTTGGTTAATTTGTTTTTCGTGAGCAACTATTAATGCTAGCACGAGGGCGTGGTGTGGTCGGAACCTCATAAGAATACCTGCGCTATATAGCTATGTTTCAGAAGGCTCAACTTATTACGTGGAAGTTTATAGCAGCAAAATACTCGAAACGCGTGTTTGTAAATGTGGAGGGGGGAAAACAAAGACCCGGAGGACCCGGAGAAAAATCGAGAAACACACCGCAAACTCCCAATTTATACACCAGGCGTCAGCGTCAAGGATCGAACGCACGACCTCCTGCATACCAGGCGAGGGAGTTAACAACTCGTTGCCGCCGCGCACGTTTAGCCGGTGTCGCCCAGACTCCAGTCCTGGGCAGTTCAGGTGCCAGTCCACGATTTCATGCGCGGCGCGCGTCGACTTCAACATCTCGCATTGAAATCGTTGGCGAACGTGGAAAAATGGAACGGAGTTCGGCTCCAAGGAATGGAGTTTGAAGAATCCGATCCGCACTTTCACTCGGGGGATTATCAAACTCTCGTCGCCACGTCCCTCAATTTGTCTTTACCATTATTCTTCGTGCCCCGTTATTGATTAAACAATATCCTAACTTGCCATGTAGGTGGTGGGGGGGGGTGATTAAAATGTATAGACGTCGTTCCTATGTCTCTGTGTGCGCGGGGTGTGTCTCACGGGACACAATTAATCAGGCTTCTCTCTACGTCACGCGGGGCCTATTGTTTAGCAATGATGAGGCGCGTGCAGCGTGTAAATACCTAATTTTTATTTGCAGGGAGGTACATTTAATTACAAATTACGCAACATGGGGGGGGGGATGTCGGGGCTGGAGTTTGAGAAACTCTGTAGTGATGTTCTAGAATGGCCAGGAAGATGATATTTGGTACTAACATGAGAGATTTGGTTTCAAAGAGAATAATATCGAAAAACTATTTCTGAAAAAATGTGGTCTCCATAATTATTACAGCCCGCAGGCTGATTGGTTTCACTCATTAGGCAACGTAAAATAAAAGTTTTAGCATTTAGCGGATTTGCGGCTCCAGATTAAGAAGGAAACATATTCCGCTTCGGGGTTTCAAGTGTCAGGTGATAACGCGTTCAGGTGGACTTAATTGATAATTGTCGTGGTGGTGAGGAGGATGGTAAGAATCCAGAGCTGGGTTCCACCGGACCAGTTCTTCTTGGGTGCCGCGTGGACTGCGAACGCCCGTCTGCTGGAGAAAACGCTGATGATGACTTTGCCAGCGCATTCCAGTTTCTCATTGGGTCTTTTGTAAGTCCATGGGCCTCTATGTGAGTCTATGGGTCTCCATGTCAGTATATGGAGTGGTCACTGCCAGCGCGCTTCCCATTGTTGGTAGGAATTCCAATTTCCCATGGAACTACTCCAAGCTTATTATACTCAATATTAGTAACTAGTGGCACAGTTTAGATTTAAAGCTTTCGTGACTGCAGGGATTCATCTTCTTGGTTCTTTCGGTAAAGTCACGTAGAAGGGAAATACTAAAATAATAAAAAATAAAACATAATAAAATACAATTCTCACGACGTTTCGGCCACAACGCAAGCAGCCGTCCTCAGGTGAAGAACAGGTCTGTCGGAAAGACAGCGTCTGAATGAGCACCACCAAGCTTGGCAGCGTATATTGTGGTACAGTGGCTATTGATCTGCACAGTGAATCCACACCACGTGTGTTCGATTCCCGGCCACGCCGAACATCGGTGGCGAGTAAAATATCAACCGGGTCCTGGCTGGCAGAACACTTGCTGGGAAAACAACGTGGCACAAGCACAACGCTCGTGTTGTTTGATGGTCGCATGCCATCAGCGATTCTACAATGAGTCTACCTAGCGGGCAACAGAGAGCATATTCTTAGGTTTTTTCGGTAAAGTCACGTAGGTAAAAAATGTAATTAAAATTAATAAAAGTAAAATTTAAATAAAATAAAAATCACGACGTTTCGGAGGCAACACAAGCTTCCGTCTTCAGGTGGAACCGTCACAGCACGATTGCTGTATGAAGTACTTTTTATTTTTATTTTACTTTTATTAATTTTAATTTAATTAATTTACGTGACTTTACCGAAAAAACCTAAGAACATGAATCCTTGCAGTCACGAAAGCTTCAAATCTAGAATCAACAGAGAGCAGTGCAGCAACATCCCATTGTTGTACTGCACTGCAATTCTATGCTCCATTTATATAGCCCTCGCCTTCACCAACCCACAATAACCAGCGTGGTGAAGTATGTCCAGCACCAGGCAATGCTCCTTCGTCATAGCACATAGGCGACGTTTCGGGAAATGAACCTTCTTGACCCAATGACACATTTTGCCCAAAACGTCGTCTTTGATATAATTTCCCCTTGAAGTGATTCCGGGGCCTTAACGATTCGGCCACCTCGATGGCTCGCACGTATGTTGAACTTCTTTTGCACCCTACGCAGTCGCCAACGGCGCTCGACGGAGGTGCGGCACGACAGCGTTGGCGAACGGACGGGGAGTCTAACCGGCCTCAAGGGCTCAACGCTTGAATTTCACCGCAGTGACAATGTTCATCACTCTTACATTGTTTTGTCGCTTTATTTCGGTGATTTTGAAAACGTTTTGGTTCAGCCATGTTTGTTTGTTGTAGTACAGAGTTAGCCTGATAACTTTAATGTAAATTGTCTTACGGTTGTTATTGTTTGACTTGCATCCCACTGGGATTTTTGCACACAGCGTTGAAATGCGGTGTTTTTTTCTGGAAGACTTTTGCTGTTTTTTCCTGGATTTTTGTTGTTGTTGCGTGTAGTCACTTTAAGATGTTTCTTGTTCATGTTTATGTTTTGTTGCGGTTGCACCCGAGTCAAGAGCCGCATGGCTCACAGGGTTATACCTAATGAACGAAACTGAAACTGAAAAATATTACGCCACCCTAACAGCTTAAACACGAAGCCCCAAAAACACCGATTCCTACAGACGCGATTAAGAATAGCGTGTCGGTTCACAAATCGAATCCTTCAACGAGCATTGCACCTGTACTCTTAGTTTTTTTGGTAAAGTTACGTAGGTAAAAAATAAAATAAAAATTAATTAAAATTAAATAATAAATAATACATTCTTTTTATTAATTTTAATTTCATTTTTTACCTACATGACTTTACCGAAAAAACTAAGAGTATGGATCCTTGCAGTCACGAAAGCTTCAAATCTAGAGCATTGCACCTGTGGTGAATGTAGCGCCTCGAGTGGCTGCAAGAGAGGTGGTGGTGGGGGGATAAGGGGCCGTCCATAAATGACGTCACGCACCTAGGAGGGGGGGGGGGGGTCAGACATTTGTGACTATGTGTGACGACTGGGAGGGGGGGGGGTTTGAGAAATATGACGTCACACAAAAATGCGCAACTTTAAATAAATATAGAATTGTTATAACAACACTAATTGTTATAACAACACTCCTACAACATCACATTAAATACGCACTACAATGACAATAGTTTAAAACGATTTGAAGCATGTTTTATTTTAAAAATGAAAATATGTTTTTTGGGGGGGAGGGGGGCAGAGCTTTGTGACGTCATATTTGAGGGGGGGGGGGTCTGACTTTTTCTGACGTCGTGTGACGAGGGGGGGGGGGGGTCAAAAATCGTCCAAAATCGCGTGACGTCATTTATGGACTGCCCCTAATCGAATCTAATACATGCGATTCGATGATGCATTCTGATTGCGATTTCGCTAACTGACACGGGAACTGCCTCACTGAGTCTCAGGGCTGCGTGTTTAAAAAAAAGAGGGATTCAACGTGAGCTAGAATAATCGCGAAGATAATCGATATTAATCGATAGATAACATCGTTATCCCCGCAGTCGCTGGTATTTATAATTGAGTGATATATATTATACTGATAGGAACCCACTGGTTCCACCAGCCCACAGGGGATTATTGTGTCCGTCCGTCGTGCAGGGAGGGGCTGGGTGGGCAGGGACGGGCTGGGTGGGGAGGGGCTGGATGGGGAGGGGAGGGTGGAAAGGGGCTGGGTGGGGAGGGTAGGGCTGGGTGGGGAGGGGCTGGATGGGGAGGGGAGGGTGGAAAGGGGCTGGGTGGGGAGGGTAGGGCTGGGTGGGGAGGGGCTGGTCACCTCGTGGTGCCCTTATTCAACTCAACGTTAAACCTACTCACGCCGGCTTGTGCCCGCCCTCACAGTCGGGCATATTTTGCGGAATACACCACGCCGCCGTTG